GGGAAAGAGATCACACAATCAAGGCCACCAGAATGGAGGAAGTCAGAGAATGCACACCCCAGATTCTGTTTAAATTCAATATGAATCTCTGAATCCTAAACCACACATGTACGAGGCAAACAGAAAGCAGCTGGGCCTAAGGGTAAAAGTACTGAACTGAATGAAATCTGAGCCAATGTCCATTGCAGGCATGATAGTTTGACCCTAACCAAGTTAACTACCTGCTAAAAGGAAAACATCAATGTTCTTCAGAGGAAAGTAACAAAATCCAGAGATTCCCCAAAATTACATTCACATTGTCCAGGATACTATGCAGTATTACCCAATATACGAATAGTCAGGAAAATGTGACTCACTCTCTAGGGAAAAGACAACCAACATATGCCAACCCCAAGATAACCCAGATGTTAGAATTATCGTACAAAGACTTTCTTTTTTTAAGATTTTTATTCATTTTTTGACAGAGAGAGAGACAGCAAGAGAGGGAACACAAGCAGGGGGAGTGGGAGAGGGAGAAGCAGGCCTCCCTGCTGAGCAAAGAGCCTGATGCAGGGCTCGATCCCAGGACCCTGGGATCATGACTTGAGCCAAAGGTAGACACTAAACGACTGAGTCACCCAGGCGCCCTCATACAAAGACTTTAAAGCCACTATTATAAATACGCTGAGTAAGAAAAAGTAAAATATTCTTATAATGAATAAAAAGATATGAAATCTCAGTCAATCCCAGAAAAAGTAAAATACTCTCATAATGAATACAAAGATGAAATCTCAACAGAGGACTAGAAAATATTAAAAGCAGAGACTTCTGCTTCTGGTCAAGATGCAAAAGGAAAAAGGAACACCGTTCAACTAATTTGACCAGGCTACCATAATCCTAATACCAATCTGATAAAGTAATTTAAAACACTATATTTCATTATCCCTAATAAATACAGCATAAAACCCCTTAAATTATTTCCAGATCAAATCCAGCAACATACCAAAAAAAAAAAAAAAAAGAGTATATATTGTAACCAATTCAGGTTTATTCCAGAAATGTAATGTTAAACATCTGAAATTAAATTATGGAGAATCAAGGAGAAAAATCACATGATTATTTCAATAGATTCAGAAAAAGCATTTGACAAAATTCATATCCATTCATGATAAAAACTCTCAGAAACTAGGAATAAGAGGGAACTTCCTAACACCAATAAAAGGTATTACTACCATTATTCTTAAGAAAGGAGGAATCATTTCCCCCCATGATCAGGAACAAAGAAAGGATTTCCACTTGTATTACTTTTATTCGATATTGTACTGTATGTTCTAGCTATTGAAATAAGTCAGAAAAATTAAATAATAAAGCACACAAGGCAGTCTAAGTTTGCAGGTATGATTATTTACATAGAAAAATCCCAATAAATACACAAAATAACTACAAGAACTAAAAAGTTAATAGAACAAGACTGTAAGATACTAGGTTAATAAATTAGTAAGAATTGTATTCTTTCCAACTAGCAACAAACAGATAAGAAACAAAAATTGAAAAACAATCCCATTTGCAAGCAAGAATGCCCCCCTAAAAAAATACTCAGGAATAACTCTAATAGAAGATGTCCAAAATCTTTACAGTGAAAGCTACAAGATATTGAGAGAATTAAAGAAAAGTCTATAAAAGATATATGCCATATTCAATGGACTGGGGAACTCACTATTGCTAAGACGGCAATTCTCCACAAATTGATCTACAAATCCTTATTAAAACTGCAATAGGCTTTTTTTTTTTTTTTTAAGAAATGGATAAACTGATTCTCATTTCCCTTGGAAATACAAAGAACCCATGGGAACTTATATAAAACGAACAAAATTGGAGGACTTGCCCTACTTGGTTTTAAGACAACAGATCTCTAAGAGACTTGGGTATTGGTGAAAGGTAGACATATAGATTGATGGAACAAAACAGAATCCAGAAATAGATGAACACATATTTGGTCAATTGATTTTGGACAAACATTTCAAAACAATTAAATTAGGAAAGACTGTTCAACAAATGATGTTAAATTAACTGTATATTCATATAGAACAAAAGAACCTTACTGAACTTGTACAAAAAAACTAGCTTGAGGGTGCCTGGGTGGCTCAGTTGGGTAAGCGACTGCCTTCAGCTCAGGTCATGATCCCGTCGGGATAGAGTCCTGCATTGGGCTCCCTGCTCGGCAGGGAGTCTGCTTCTCCCTCTGACCGTACCACCCCCTCTTGTGCTCTCTCTCTTTCAAATAAATAAATTAAATTAAATCGTAAAAAAAAAAAAAAGCTAGCTTGAGATGGATCATTGATCTAAATGTCAAGCCCCAAACTACAAAACTTCTATAACAAAACAAAAATTGATGCAACTTTAGGTTAGTCGAAGATTTCTTATAAAGAAAACAAAAAGTCCTACTACAAAATAACATTAAAAATACACTGTATTGGGGCACCTGGGTGGCTCAGTCGTTAAGCATCTGCCTTCAGCTCAGGTCATGATCCTAGGGTCCTGGGATCGAGCTCCACATCGGGCTCCCTGCTCTGCGGGAAGCCTGCTTCTCCCTCTCCCACTCCCCCTGCTTGTGTTCCCTTTCTCGCTGTGTCTCTCTCTGTCAAATAAATAAAGTCTTTAAAAAAAATACATTGTATTTCATTAGACTTTTAAACTTTTGCTCTTTAGAAGGCATCATTAAGAACATGAAAAGGCAAACCACAGAACATTAAGAAAATATTCCCAACATACATATCAGAAAAAGGACGTGTATCCAGAAAAAAGAAAAATACAAATATACATGCAAATGTGTACATGATCCCGACGGGATCATGACCTGAGCTGAAGGCAGTCGCTTAACCAACTGAGCCACCCAGGCGCCCTCAAGCTAGTTTTTTTGTACAAGTTCAGTAAGGTTCTTTTGTTCTATATGAATATACAGTTAATTTAACATCATTTGTTGAACAATCTTTCCTAATTTAATTGTTTTGAAATGTTTGTCCAAACTCTCTCCTCCTCTCTCTCTCCCTCTCCCTTCCCCCTCTCTTTAACACAAGAAGACAGAAATTCCATTTAAAAATGAGGGGGAAAATATGAAACTATTTTACATGTATACTAGGACTGAAAAAATATGTAAATAAATTACAGATAATGGGAGCCAGGTTTCTCATTAACAGAAAAAGATACTACAAATAAAAGTAAAGGATGAGAATGAACTCTGTGGTGTTAAAGTTGTAGGTATTAGTACAACTCCTGTTTAGTTTTAACACATATATGAGACAGATACTTGTATATACCAGCTCTGTCCACTGAGAGGGCCTAGAAGCAATTACAACCCAGTAGCCATAAGCACACCCAGTGCCCAGCTCTTGTTTCTAAATACCATTACCCAATGAAAGGAATAGGACTTCTTGGGAAAAGGGCTGATTCAGGGATGAGACAGGGGAAATACAAGATAAGCGTGGATCATACAGTGCCAGAAATGAAGGAAGTGCTTTAAAAAACAAACAAAAAAGAGAGGCATGTCAAAAGGACACAGGAGGAAACCTGAAAGAGCTATCGATGCCATAAGTTGAGCAAGAAAATAAATGACATAGTATTCAAGTATAACCTAAAGTATAAAATAAATATATTCAAGTTCATACTAATAAGTAAATGACTGAATGAATAAATAAATGGGGGGGCAAATCTTCCTCACAAAGAATTCAAAATAACATACATATGTAAACAGTCTCCCCTCTAGGAGGTGGAACGCAAGTCCCCTCCACTGAAGTGAAGGCTGGACTTAGTATCTTGCTTTCAAAAATTCTGCATGGAAAGGATACTCCAAAGGAGTATAGTGGATAAACTTGGGGGAAACTGCCTTAACCAAGGAGTGATTCAGGTAAATATCAACACTGATTAGTAACAGTGATTTAAATATAGGAAGGAATGAGAAACTGTCATAGATCAGAGAAGCCTAGGATGACTAAATTCAATGTGGTATCCTGGGCTGGATACTGGAACAAAAAAAAAAAAAAAAAAAGGGGGGGAAAAACTGGTGAAATTCAAATAAGATTTGGAACTAATCCCAATCAGGGGATATTCTATAAAATATCTGACTAGTAATCCTCAAAATTGTCAAAGTCATTAAAAACAATGAAAGCCTGAGAAATTTTCAC